TGAGCTTTGCAGCCACTGGTCTGTTGTCTAGAGGTTCAGAAGAGCAATCATTCCTCTGGAGTCATTATTTCCCTGAGGATGCTACTCTTTTCCCCTCACCATCTGGCACCCAGCATCAAAGGTGGGCGTCCCTTTAGGCCTAGGCTTGACTGTTACTTTTCTGTACGCTCTCCAGACTTTTGTTGCTGTCTTTGTTAGTGTACCCTCAGGTGGCATCCAAGTCCCTACTGTCCTGTGATGATTCATACAGCTCACACCATGTTACTCTTTCTCCTACGCCACCGCAGGGCTACTGTGTTAAAGCCGGAACTGTGAGTGTTTAGGTCTGTGTCTTTCATTTTATGTTCCTACTCACCTGCCTGTCCTGGCTCTTTTAGGTCTTGTAGATACATAGCCTTGAGATGTTTGTTATCATTTTCTGAGGGGCTTTCATCATCCAAGTGGCTTGTCAGCCATCCAAGGTCATTAGCCTTGTTGATGCTTTGTCCTCATTCCTCAGACGACTTAGCTCCTGCCTTGCTGTGACTCATCTTCTTGTTTCCTTAAGGAAATATGGCCTCATAGCCAGTTCTTTATGTGCATTTAGGGCCAATGTTCAGGGTCTCTGGTGAAAAGTAGCATTAAAAAAAATAACCCCTTCATTTTCCTTGGGTTAGGATTTGCACCATTTTTCTAGGGCTGTTCCAATAAATCATTCCACACTCAGTGGCTTAAAGCAACAGACGTCTTTGTTGTTGTTGTTCAGATGCGGAGGCTGGAAGTCAGAAATAAGGATGTCACAGGTTGGTACTCTCTGCTGGGTCTGGATCTGTCCTCTGCCTGACCCTGGCTTGCAGTTTCTGGTGGCTTTCACTGATCTTCTTTGTTCTGTAATTGGCTGCTGGAGTCCAACCTCTGCCCCAGAAGTCTCCCCTCACCTTGCCGTAAAAGCGGCCCCCACTACTTTACAAGGTTAAAAGGTGGTTAGTATATATGAGTTTGCCTCTGGGTACCTCAAATCCATAGCCTTACCTGGGTGGGGTGCAGGTTTCTGGATGGAACATTGAACACAGCCCAGTGTTCTCTGAGGGGTTGTGTCTCCATCCCTGACTTCATGAAGTCAGCAGGCATTTTTACTTTTATTAAGAAATGAGACAAGCTTTAATAACTTATTTCACTTATGAATCAAATGCCTCTAAGACCTGTTATCATCACAGGGGGAAAATGTCAGAAGGGCAACTTGGCCAGTGACTGGGTTTTTCTGGGGGAGTGTATGTGGGTACTTCTGTGGGCATCTGGGGTAAGGGTCAGGCTTGGGAGTATTACATGTGTATGGGTAAGTCAGAGCAGCTGTGATCTTCTCTGGCACCGTTTCTTGGGTTGAGCCATACTGTTGATTGACAGAGATGTTAGGATACATGTGACTCGGGAAGGGCACTCCATCATACAGATTTCCAAGTAGGTTCCTCAGTCTCAGCACACGTGGCCGAACTGTGTGCTGAGGTCCATGCAAAACCTGATGACTAGCTGTAATCCAGAGCCTAGTGGAGCAGGGTCTGATTCTGAAGAAGGAAGGTACAGTAGTAAACCAACCCTGGGGCACCAGATGGGCTAACCTGGGTGGCTATATGAACTCCGGGGATCATTCTGCTCGTGTCTCATGAGAGCATGGAGTGTCTTGAGGCAAGTTGTTTTCAAAGTAAAGCTTTTTTTTTAATGGCATTGCGTTTGTATGTGTGTGCCCCAGTGTGCATGTGAAGGTCATAGGATCTTTCAAGAGTTGGTTCTCTCCTTCTACCGTGCGAGTCCTGTGTGTGTGTGTGTGTGTGAGGGTGAGGTGTCCCTAAAAGCTCTACATCCAGCGGAGGAACAATCTGAGGAGAGGCAAGAATGAAATTCAGCTCAGTATGACCTTAGTTGGCTCTCATTGATTGAAACTTCAGGAATCTGATGCCATATATGTCTGACAGTATAGTTTAGCCATATTTAAGCACAGCACAATTTTGGAAAAACGTTTCCTGATGACAGTTAACTGAGTCCCTTGTGTACAACAAAGCTTAAGATGTTCTCATATTGAAACTCTACAGAGTACACGTGGCGTCGTCCTTAAAGATGGGTTCTGCCGACTTAGAAGTAATGCTCAAGACAAGGGTCTAGGGAAAATGACTGAGGCAAACATATTGCCTGTGGGAGTCAGGACTGGCCTGGCCTAAGATAACACAGAGGTTACTTAGGCTGTTGTAGAATACAAGTGACATCTCTCATAAGGATGGGTTTCTAAAAGACAACCTAAGAAGTAATGCTCAAGATTTGGTGGGAAGAGTTCTGGGATAAACAAATATAATGTGCTGTGGGATTCTGGTAAAGCCTGGTCCTACAGATAGCAAAGGATCATCATGTTGTAAACTACATTCTCTCTAAGCATTCTAGGTGGAAGACAGGCAAACATCTCTTTCCTTTGAAAAGACAAGTCTGTGTGTTTAACTTCCTTAGCTTTTCCAGTGCTTGTCTATGTGCACAAGAGACTCTTAGCCACTACATTGGTCTCATGATTGACTGACCTCAGATCGACAGGCCAGGTGGCAGTCACCTTTACCTACTGGGCCATCTTGCTAGCTAAGCTGAAATAACAAAGCGCTCTATTTCAACCTGTGTGCTGATTTTGGGCAACCTCTGAGCAATCCCAAATATCCCAAGACATCCTCTGTGGACCCTGGCTGAGAAAGAATGCTCAGGGAGGTCTCAAAGGCAGTGCTCCAGGTAGGGGCTGAGGTAAATACGATCTCTATGAAATGACACATGGGGTGTAAGAGTGGTGACAATGCCCTGCAGCAGGCCTGGCAGGGGTTGTGACCTCTGTCGGGTGCATGTCGTTCAGTGGAAGCATAGGGATGATGCTCGGGGCAGACATCCCACCCCTAGATACAAGAGGATGAGGGAGACTCGCTGGAACTGGAGATGCAAGCGGCTAGAGAACACAGAACTGCGAGGGGAGGGCAGCCGGCCAAAGAGCCGCAGTCACTTGACTGCAGCCCAGCGTCACCCTTCGAGGAAAGTGCAGTTAGGGGTTTCGTGAAGGGAGTCCCATAGAACTGTGGGAACATGGCCAGGTGTTCGCAAGCAGAGTGGGGAGAGAAACATCTGGAAAAACAAAGCTGAAGGGGGTTAATTCTGACTTTCTCTGCAAGCAGAAATGGAGGAGAAATAGGGTAGGAAACACGTCCCAGGAGTTCTTAAAGGGAAGAAATTATCCCAACATCTGCTGAAACATTCAGACAGACTTCATTTCCGGCTGTTGCCGGAGGTGTAGGACTGTGGCGATGGGGTTCTGCTGCAGAGCAGAGCGACTGGGCTGAGCTCGGAGTACAGCGAGAAGAGTGATTTTATATGCAAGAAGCAGGGCAAAGAGTGGAAAATCACTGAAGGGGAGCATCGTGGGTGAGGGGGAGTCTGGCTAAACAGCTGCACCAGGATCCTTCCCTCCGCAGACCAAGTAAGTAGACATCTGCCGGTCTAGGAGGAACCCTGTCAGGTGAGAGGAGGTCAAGGTTTGGCAGCAGGGGTCGGTTATAGCCAAACCAGCTTTAGCAATGTCTACAACCCAAACTTCAACAGATTTATTTAGTTGAAGGATCTGATAGCCTCCTATGAATTTTCCCTTCCCCTCCCTTTCCCTCCTCTCTATTTTCCTCCCTCTCCCAAGGGTCTAGATATGTAGTCAGAGCTGGCCTTGAACTCACTGTGTAGTTCAGGTTGTCCTTGAACTCAGGCTCTTTTTCCTCAGCACTTCTCTGAGTGCTGGGATTACAGGCCTGCACCACAGCACCCAGCTTCTTAAGTTTTCTTTTAAAAGCAAGATTCTTGCTAAAATGGGATGTTGCTAACGTAAAAATGGACCACAAATAGTCGAGAGAGACTGGCAACTCCTGTGGAAAATGTGGTTACATGCAAATGCATGTGTGTGCTGTTTGCACGAACATGCAGGTGTTTCCATGCATATGTGTAGGTGCTTTTATTAGGTTTTGAGATAGGGCTTTTACGTTGTAGCCAAAATTGGCCTGGTAAGTTGCTATCCCCCAAGGGCCTTGAACCTCAGTGATCTACTTACCCCAGCCTTCTAAATGTTGGGATTACAGGCATGAGCCACCATGCACAATTTTTAATGTATCTTTAGACTCTCGACTATCAATGGGAAAAGTCTGGAATTTCACAGGGGATTATAATCCTACATGAATGGCAGGTGCCATGGGTTCCCTTTATGATAAGGGAACGGGACGGTGCAGAACAATTTCATTGCTTCTCCTTGCTCTTGAATGATTTTTGAAGCCTGGTTGTGGAAACAGCCTCTATTTGAAGTTCCTAGAGGGAATTTCACTCAGCAAGGTGCGGTAGTGAGTACTTTCTGCCAACGCTGACAGCCTGAGTCTGATCCCTGGACACGCACGGTGGACAGAGAGACCCACTACTGCGTATCGTCCTCTGCCCTCCACATGTGTGCTGTGGCATGCACGAGACCACCTCTCACAGTAAATAACTGCGATTATCTAAAAAGCAAATATAGGCGAGGTGACCTAGCAACCAGCCTGGACCAGAACTTCATCTCTGGAACCCACGGAAAGGTGAAATGAGAGAACCGACTGCAAAGAGGTGTCCTATGATCTCCTCACGTGTGCTGTAGCATCTGTATGACCTCTCCACACCCCAATAATAAATAAAATAAATTTAATGAAAGAAATAAAGGGGAAAAACAATCACAAACTGATAACGAAATCCAATATTGGTTGCTGTTTGGGGCCAGTGTCGACATGTCTGAGTAGAAAGAGTAGGTGATATGTTATGGGTGGGAGCAAGAAGGGAAGGGGGTGAGGGCTCAACAGAAAGAAAGGGAAGAGAAATTGTTGTGTTTTAATAAATCAAACTAGCTAATGTAATGGCAAGATGATTTTCATTGTCACCCACATGGTGCGTTTTGCAATTTCACATTCTCAGATGGTAAGATTATCCATTTATTTTATTCGTAGGCTGTACTCAGACTATCTCTACTTTGCGAGTTCAAATAAGTCTGCAGATGACTTCCACGAAAAAGTGACGGAGGCCCTGCAGCTGTTTGAAAATTGCATGCTGGATTATTCACTGCGCGCCTGCGTCTACAACAACACCCTGAACAACGCCATGCCGGTGCGTATTCACGGAGGCAGCCCATACAGACCGGGGCCACTTGGCTGCTGTTATGTGCAGGGGGCATTGTGAACAGGGTCTTAGCACAGAGATGGGAACAGAGCATTGGAATGTGCAGATGACACTGAGCCAGCTGCCTCTGAGCAGCGGCTAATATGCAAGCAGATACTCCTGGCTGAGAGCATGAAGGCAGCTGGGGCCAGCCAGCTTGCTGTCTGTGTCCTTCCTTGCCTGTCACCCAGACACTTTGCATCATTCTTCTCTTCCCTCTGCTAGAGAACCAGGGTGCACTGAGGTGGACTGCCATTTGGTAAGACTGAATGCACGTTCTGCAGTTGGAGCGGGCAGACTGGAGAATACCCACCCAGTCTTCAGATTGTCTCAGAGCATCTCTGTAGCATCGGGATCTTCTCTTTGGTTTTCAGAATTACCCACCAGTGACTCTGAATGCACCAGGTCTTCACTGAGCAATGCTCTCTCTCAACTCCTCTGTTGTTCTCCTCTGAAGGAATACACCTAACGTTCAGCCTTATACAAAAACACTTGCTGGTGGTGAATCCAGTAAAATGGCCGAGGTCATTTCTCCACTCACGGCTCCCAGGTCTAAGCGCTTCCCCAGTGGGGCTCTTGTATCATGTATGGCCATGTCACACAAATCAGGCATGCAAGATTACTAAAGATGATTTGAGACCTCCCACTCACCCCCCAGGGCAGTGAGACTCAGGAGAAAGACTTCAGTCCCTCTGCCTGGCTTCTCAGACCATCTTTTCTTGTCAGGGCCAGCAAGCAGGACTCTGGGCTGTCTTCCTGCAGGGATTGTAGTTAGGCAAGGAAGAGTCAACACAGATAGCCACATTTTCAGATAGACAAGCTTCGGAGGCAGACTGTGGTGTGGGTTCACTCTGGCGTTTTCTGTCTGTGTGGCTCTGCACAGCTGTTCTTTACCTTTCTGAAATTCAATTGCTGTAAATTCAGCTTCTGAAATTCAAAGGCTGTTAGAGGGATTTGAGATTGAGAATTATTTATGTGTGCCTGCACTCACAAACAGATGGGGCTGTACCCTGGTACAACCAGGTGGAGCCCACTGGAGAGTGAAAGTGGTCCAAGCTGATTGGAAAGTGATGGACTCTCCATGCTGTCTGCCCACCAGCCTGGGCAGAGAATTCAGATGTGCCTAGATGCAGCCTGCCTCAGCCTTCTATCATGGTCCTTCTGGAATTTCTTGTTTGTGATGATGGTGTGAAACTCTCCGCATAAGCCTGCAAGGCGGGTGGGAAGACAGGGCCAGAGGGAGGCTGGAATAGGCCAGATGAACAGTGAGGGGTGAGATGTTTGACTGGTGTGGCTCCCAGAAGAGGCGGGAACACTCTCACCCAAGCAGTCACTACCCAGTTCTCTTTCTGGAAGGTCTCCTGAGAATTCAGAGAGGAAGGGACAGACATAGGCTCATACCAGCCTAAGTTGGCTGGGTGTCATGGGTGGAGGGAAGCAGGGCTTTGGGATTCCTGACACAGGCATAGTTGGGTTTAATAACTGAACTGGGCTTCTCCCACCCTGTGAAAGGGTCAGTATCTGATATAAACAGGTCCGGATGTGGTGACATTTTCATTCCACCCAGAGGTATACCCTAGGAAACACAGCCTGCACCAGCCAAGCTGGGTGCATTCTGGCTGCCTCTAAATAGTCTTCCTAGAGACAGGATATCCTCGGCCGCTTCCTCCCACAGAGAAGAGGGCTGTGCCTGGTGTGTTTCCTCTTCTCTTGCTGTCTACAGGCCAACTGAACATAGGAACACCATTGTGACTGGGTAGGAAGTTCATGGGTAGCCGTATGATTCTCTTCGCCTCTGGGTGTGCTGGAAACATCCTTACCTAATGTTTGTCAGGTCCCTTGGTGACAGACAGGAAGTATCCAATTTCAATTCATTGCTCACTGGGTACTGTCCTAAACTTTACACCCTCACTGACCTCTGAAGTCGCTCTCATTTTACAGATGGGGACACTGAGGCTCACTGAAGGTGTACTCCACCTGAAGCTAACAGCAGTGCTGATAGCCTTTGAAACCTGTCTTCCTTTCCTTGCTCTTCAGAGTGGTTCTGAGACAACAGGAGGCATGCACTCTAAATTTCATTTATGACGTGCCAAGCATGACGACACCATAGCCTAGTACCTCTTGGTCTAAGGGAGTTCCAGGGGCATGGCGGTAGACAGGGTGGCTGAAGTCCAAAATGGACTCTGTACAGGAAGAGGAGTAAGCAGTTAGGAATGGGGAAGATATTTCTTTGGGAGATGTTTTATTTTCTCCTCTGGGATGGGAAGAAAGTTTCCTTCTAGCTGCTGATGCAGCCCATCTACAGCATGGGGCATGAGGCCTAGTGTCCTGAGTGCTGGCACTGCAGGCGTGCCCACTACAGCTAGCCCTGCTGCTTTATATTAAGGCCTTCATATGTCAGCTCACTGCCGAGGGCCTGTCCCCTTCCTTAGTCCCTCCTTCCCCATCATGGTTCACAGAGTGAGGTCCCTGAGAACTCGTCAGATGGGAGCTTCCTCCTATGTCTTGTATCAGATGTGGCGGGGGGGCACAGATGTGAACACTCATCTGGTGTGGGGGAGGGTGCAGGTGGGGAGAGCCATCCGCCTAACTGGCCCTGCTGTGCATGTGTGTGTGCTCAGGTATGGGAACCCCCGGGGTTTGGACCCTTCTGCGGTTCTTCTTCTCCCTTTACATGGTTCTCCTGTCTGTCCAAGAACTTACTGTTTAGGTCTTTTTAAATCTGAACCACTTCCCCCACACCACCCTCACACCATAATATGTGTCACAGTTGGTGATGACAGGTGTCTGTCCCTCTATCGGTTTAGAGGTGTCTCTGAGCAGTCAGGGTCATGCCTGGTCAATGGCATCATATCCCCACTGCCTGGTGTGGTGCCTGATACACTGTGTGAACTCACAGTATTTGCTGAACAAATGAAGAAATGAATGTCTGAGTGGGGAGTTGGGGGACGGAAGAGAGCCTGGGTGGGCAGGGTCAACTGAAATTGGGGGAAACAGTGAAGATTGGAGCGTTACCTGTCTGGGGCAGAGTTGGGCCTGTGACCAGGTTCAACTCAAAACTGGATCTCCTCAGGTGCTTTCTGGACCCCTCCAAAGTGTCTGAGGTACTTCTTGTGCCTTCCTAAGATGCTGCTTGGGCTCTCCATAAGGTGCTTCCTGGGCCCCTGAGGTGCTTCTTGGAACCTACAGGGTGCTCACTCTTTACTAGAACTTCTCTGTGGTGGAACAAGCATCACACCCATGAGGGACTGGACCACATCATGTGATTTTGTTAGGAGTTAGCTACTGAGTCCAGGCAGACACCTCTGCCTCCCCCCTCCCCTGAGCTCTGGTTCTTTGTTAGTGAATCAACAGGTATCCGTAAGCTCAAAGGCTTTGGCGTTTTCTAATTTTAAATTTTTTTTGGCCCTTGCCCTAAAAATCTTCTCTATATTGTTTCTATTTTGATTTCTCGTTCTATTTTGTTTCCTGTCCTATGTTGGACAGACATGAGAAAAATGAGACTTTGGGGTGTCTCTGGGGTGTCTTCATGGTGTTGTTGCATGCATAAATGGTGTCCCAGAAGGGCCCAGAGCCCTGGCTGAGGGAGGAATTTCTGGAACCAGTGGATGGGAAGCAAGCCCATTCCTTGAGCCAGAGCATATGTAGGAATCCCGTGTCCTCCCTCCTGGGACCAGATCTGCCTTTGAGGAAGGCCTTGTGCAGTCAGGAGTCTGTCGGTCTTTGTCCTGAAGGCAAAGTGGTAGACTCTCACCAAGACATGGTTTTGGAAGATGCTCTGCCACCAGGGCAGACACAGGGACAGTATCCAGCTGCTCTAAAATACCAGCGTCCTATCACTGACAGTCACTTCCTTCCCTTCCGGAAAGTTGTTTGAGTTACAAAAGTTGTTTCTCTGGAAGAGATGAGCTTGTGAGACCAAGCTGGCTGTAAACTGGCTGGGAAGAGATGGAGAGAGGCTCTCTCCATGAGGCTCCGACTTAGCACAGTGTTCTCATCCCTACGCCATCTTGGAGGATACATGTGTATTGTTACTGAGTCTGACACATGCTCATGTTTTTCAGTCCCGGTGTGTAAGGTAGTACCAAAGCAAGGGGTAGAGACAGGTAATGAATTTTGGAGACAACTTAGCTATTGCCTCTAATAGTTTTCCTTTCACCATTAGAAACATGATGAAATGGGGAAAAAAAGAACAATGAGTTTAATACTGTGTTCAATACCTCCACCAAGAGCTGACATGAACGCTGACATAAGGCTTTGCATGAGGTGACTTGATGGCCACACCCCCAAGAAGCTCAAAAGACATGTTGGTCAGGGAGAATGATGAAGAGTGTTTGTCTTAAAAGAAATGAAGTTCCCAAGGAGGCACCTAGGACTGATAGGAGCCATGGAGGAAGAATGAACTGGAAGTTGGAGGTAGCTCAGGACTTTCCAACTGGAAAGCCTCAGGGCCCTGAGCCAGGGCCAGCCAGGGTCTGCTCAATGCTTTACAAAGCAATGCCCACAACATGTGGAAGGACAGAGTGTAGAAAGGAGAGACGGGAGAGCCAACCAAAATCCCTGTGGGTGTCTAGCAGGTCCTGATGGGAGTAGACAAAGAGAGATGGTGAGTGGTGAGTCAGTCTCACTTCTGATGCCACCTGTGAGTTCTGAGGCAAAGTCACCAACCAGGGCTCACAGGACACACCAAAGGCTGCTGCGACCATAACCGCAACTCACGGCATGGAAAGAATTCAGAGTCACATCAGCGAGCGAAAGTGAATGGGCAGAGCCCCCAGTCCACTTGTCCCTTCGGAAGGTAGTTGGGAGATGGTTGCCAGCTCCTTCCAGCCGTGATAGAGGCATGATAACATGACCACAATGAGGAACCTTGACACCCCAACTTGTAATGTCCAGAGTTCTTGTTGGGGTTCCATCACATACTGATGCTCTAGTTATTCCAGAGATCAGAGCTCCATCAGAAATGACTGTGTTAGCTTAACTGGTGCTCACATTCTGGGGATGTGAAATTGCTCTTGTTGGGTAGTGCAGTCCAGGGACCTTAGCAGCCACCTCCCAGGACAGAGGGTGAAAACCAGGCCTGTTTTTGAGTGGGTTGGTTCTTTACTCCCAGTTTGCAGTTTGGCATGAGAGAAGGAACAGCGTATTGACTTGGGAAATGTGCAGGAGGAAGGCTTTCCTGTGCAGTGGTTTTATCCCCACCCCATGGTTACATTCGGAGGACATCACAGGCTTTCATGGCCATGGTTGTCCTTACGTCTCACAGTGTCTGGGTTGTCTTTGAGGTGTCTGTTCTTGACTTTTCACAGCCTGTTGTGATTGACAGCAGGGAGACAGCCACCCACGTTATGCAGAGAACTCATATGCCCTTGACATCTTTCCTCTGCTTCTGCTCCCACTTGTGAGTAGAGGTTGGAGTCATCTGCCGTGAAGATGTAAATGCAACCCAAGGGTGGGGATTCTTTGCACACGAGGCACAGAGTGCCTTTCGTTAAGATTTGACTCGGGAAGCTCACCGTTTGCTAAGATGGGTCTGTGGTGCTTTACTGAGAGATCTCCGTCATGCTTTGGGCTGGGGAAGTTTTCCCTGCAGTAACACCCTCTTCCTCCTTCCCAGGTGAGGCTCCAGGTCGGGCTGTATGCTGTGTACCTTCTGGACTGGCTCACCGTCTTTACTAAGGAACAGTTCCTCATTCTGCGTCTGGAAGACCATGCATCCAATGTCAAGTATACGATGCATAGAGTCTTCCAGTTTCTGAACCTGGGTATGTGTCATGCTTCAGACTGTGAGTCTCGGCACCAACTACAGGGATATGGGTTTTTGTGTGTGTGTATGTGTGTGTGTGTGTGAACGCTCGCGTGCACGCGTGAGCACAAATTACACACAGGTAAGATGTCAACATCTGGTGTTTTCCTTGGGTATCTCACTGAATGCAGCTTGCTGCTTTGGTTAGCCTGGCTAACCAGGGAGTCTCAGGGTCTGCCTGTTTTGTCCTTCTCAGTGTTGGGGTTATGGGCATGTACTGCCACACCCAGCTTTTTGGGGGGATGTTTGGGATTTAAGCTCACAGAATGAGAGCACTTACAAATACCTCTTCCTCTGAGGCGACTCCCCTTCCCATGGCATGTGGGCTCTTTAGGAGCACACTAGGTCAAGCATAAAATGGGAAGAGATGGGCTCTGGGAGGCCCAGGGACTCTTGAAGGGATGGCAGCTCAATTCCCATTTACCTAGTATCTGCTGCATGTGGCATTGTGCATGCTCTGGAGAGGAGGCACTCCTCTGAGAGCTTTCAACCTAGCAGGAGAAGGGACTTCCGGTCCAACTCCCAGAATGACTGTATTCCAGGGGGAAGGTAGGTATTGTCGCAGTGGGCCTAGTGATGACTGGAAGACCCCAGCTGCTGAGGGACCACAGAGGCATTAATGAAAGGGAAGAGAATATGGATTAAATTCTAAAGCAGCTCAAGGTCACAGTAGGTGGCTAGGACAACCCAATAGGGACCTGGAATGTGGAGGTCTGGGTACTGCAGTGATTCTCAACCTTCCTAATCCTGCGACCCTTTAACAGTTTCTTATGTTGTGGTGATGCCCGACCATAAAATTATTTTTGTTGCTACTTCATAACTGTAATTTGGCTATTGTCGTGAATCATACTATAAATAGTTTTGGAGACAGAGGCTTGTCAAAAGGGTCAGGATCCACAGGTTGAAAATGGGTGGAGTATTGCATCATCTCAGGGGTTGCTGGGGAATCTCTGGAGTCAGAGGCTCAGGGCCTCCAGCCTGAAGACATCTGCTGAGGGGCGCCCTCCTAAGTGGCCATTCCCTGGGTTGGCAGCGGCCCATACGAAGGTGAGGGGTGCTGCCTGGGTGTGGATGAACAACCCAAGGACAACCGCCGAGGCTGTTAATGTCAGGTCATACCACTTTCCTTCACGGGACATTTCCTGTCTTTCAGTTTAATAACCTGACCTGGGAATTTTTGTTAACTGAATATTTCTTCAAACATATCTAGCCACCACTGGGATTCAGGACTTTTAAGCCAGTGAACTTTTTCTTTCTTTTTTTTCTTTCTTTTTTTTTTTTTTAGAGCTGGTAATGGGTTGGAATATAGACACTCTATTTCCCATTAAAGACTTAGAACCATTTTTTCTTTGATTTGGCCACCTATAAATCTCCGGCATTAATGTGGTTGCCTTCTGTTCCTAAGAGGGACATAACTGTAAGGTCGGTTCTCTGTCTTACATAATCCTGAGACACTGAACTGTGGTGATGATTTTAGTAGGGTCCTACAAGCTTGGGGTCCAGAAGTATGAGGAGCTGGTCTAGTGACCGGGGGTTGAGTCAGGAAGCAGCTGGTGACCCAGACATTTGGGATGAGGAAGTATAGCTTCTTTTGCAGCCCCTCCTGGTCTGCCCTGGGGCCTCTCCCCACTGATGCGATTGCTACAGGTACAGGGACCACCGTTCCTCCGCCCTTAATGGCCACTTTACAACAATAAATATGAAATAAAATTCACTCAGGCTCAGGTCCCCTTGTGTCACTCAAGAACCCAAAGTGGAAATATTGGTTGCAGAATTCCACGAAACCAACGTTCCTGTACATAGCTGCCTAGGACAAATGATGGCCCTGGAAGGTAGCCCATGCAGAATGGCTGGAGGTGAACTTTGAGGTGGGCTGAAGGAGAAGGAACACCATCTCATAACACCAGCAGGGCTCCCCTGAGAACAAGCATGAGCTTGGGTTTTAGAATCGCTTTACAGTGTGTAGTGGTTTCTCCCTTCCTTGGTCTCTCCAAGTGGATCCAACCAGATATTTCTTTTTTATTTTAAGAAAGATTTATTTGTTTTATGTTATCTTTATGTTGGTTCTGCCTACATGTACATGTATCTACCACATATGTGCCTGGTGCCCTTGGAGGTCAGAAGAGGGTGTCAGAGCCCCTGAGGAGTTATGGATGGCTGTGAGCTACCTGTAGGCACTGGGTGCCTATAAGTCCTCTGCAAACAAGCGTCATTAACCACTAAGCCATCTTTCCAGTTCAACTCATCTTCTTATAGGAAAGCCTTGTAGGAGTATGACATATACCTGAGACTCTTATGAGGTCCCATTCACCTGCAACCACACCTACAGTCTTACAGGGCTATTTCCCTTCTCATTATAGGACCTCTAAGTGAGAAACAAGAAGCTTTGATGACCAAGAGCCCTGCATCCAACACCCGGCGTCCTGAAGATCGCAGCTTGGGGCCCATGTGGCCAGTCACCCAGAGGATTCTGCGGGACTTCTATGGGCCTTTCAACACTCGGCTGGCACAGGTCTTGGATGATGAAGCATTTGCCTGGAAGACAACGTGAGGGCTGAGTCCCTTCTGCAGGAGCTGGGCCCACCGACTCTGTCTTGCAGCAACTTTGAAAGTCCACCCACAGTGTGGAGAAAACTGCTGGAGCCCCACCCTGTCTTACTCTCCCAAGGCACCTGTTAGTCGGAACTATTCTTGAACATTTTCTTGCCATGTTCAGCAGCTCTGCTCTTGATTGCTGGACTCTTCCACCTGAAGCCTTGGAAAGTATACTGGGGCTAGGCTTCTGTCTGTTCCCAGAGTGTCTTGGAGCTCAGGAGGACAGGCTGGCACCTGGTAGGAAGAGAATGCTATGGTAGGCCATAGACCAGGCCTGCCCTCCTTCCGCCAGGGGAGTTTGTCTGGGTTAGGGTTGGACAGCTCTGGGATCCGATCAAGCCCACTGAAGGCCATGCTCACTGAAGGCCATGCCTGGGGCTCACCAGAACCACCCTTCATGTGTTATTTCCCAATGCACCCTGCATAAATCGCTAACCCCATGTGGACAGGAAAAGGAGCCGCTTGGAGAATGGAGACTCTTTCAGTTCTGTTCATATCCCCAAGTCAGTCCTTCAGCAACATCAAAAATAAGCCCTGCTCCCTCTGCTGTGCTCAGAAGAAAACACAAAGTCAGCTTTGGCAACAGGCTCATCTCTCTGACCTCCTGTTCTGCCCCAGTAGACTTTACTTATGCCCAACATAGAAAAGGAGCACTTTAAAACAAACTGCTTCTTGCGTTTGACTGGCCCTGCCCCTCTTTTCTGCTCCTTTGGATGTTTTCTCAAGGAATTCAGTTTATATTTGGAAAGAGAAGTTTTGCTGTTGTTGCCAGAACAGAGCAACCTCATGGCAAAGAACAGTTGGCGGAAAAGGAAGTGAAGCCCTCACCATGTGTGTGGGGGGGGTCACCAGAGAGTGCGGGGGCTGCTTCTGGTTCTGGCTGGTTATAGGCTCCCTCCCCCATCTTCCTGTTGGAAGAATCTTTTATCCAAATTCTCTGTCATGTACGGCCAAAGTTCCGTAACTCACTAAGGGTCTCAAGACACCCATATCCTCAGAAACACGTCTCACAGACTAAGCTTGGGCTGCATGTGGCGTGGTGATTAGGAGATAGCTTTGCTCTATGGACCCTTCCAGGCCCTTCAGCAGGTTGGTTTGCAATGGGATACGCTAAGGTCATGTCATTTCTTAGAAGGCCCCAGGGAATTCCCGAGAGAGAGAGAGAGAGAGAGAGAGAGAGAGAGAGAGAGAGAGAGATTGAGAGAGAGATTGAGAGAGATTGAGAAACCAGCTTAATCCCATTTGACACACAGGACCAGGTGGGAATGTCACAAAGCTTTGCACCGAGCGTTGCCAAGGGCTGCTGCCTGTGAGGCTGTGTTCTCAGGCCAGGATCCTGTCCACCAGCGTCAGGAAGTGTACACACTATATCCCCGACTTGTCACTTGGATGTGTGAGAAAAGCTGGGTTCTGGTGGCAGGAGGATGTGTGAGTCGTTCTGCTGTCCACCTGGTTGGAGATGGGACTCTCAGCTCATCGGAAGGCTCAGAGAGAACGCCGGACATCAGCATGGACCGGGCCAGTTCTGCTTGTGAAGCGGGCCGTGTGTCTCGAAGCCTGCATTCCAGGACAATTCCCCCTTCTCTCACAGCCACCACTTGGCTCAGCAACCCGTGGGGAAATCTGGCCTGAGTACAACGATGCTTTGGGAAGAAATGATGACTTCAGAGTGAGAGCAAGAGTGAGAGCAGGCGAGCAAGAGAGAGAGAGAGGTGTGAGAGCAAGCGAGAGAGTATTTATTTCAGATAGAGTGTGTGCGTGTGTGCGTTCTTGTGTGGGGGTGCTTATACTGAGTGGGTTCCCCTCAGCTATCTTGCTGATGAGGCTTCTCCCTCCATTAGAGACACGATGCCTTTATGGATTAATTTCTTCACCAGTTAGCCTGTCATTTCCGGGACATATCTCACCACCCCCCACACCAACCACGATTATAAGATTTTTCTTGCTCACTCCTTTGCATGTGAATAACATGTAGCGTAATTATGCTTCTTACAGAAGTATTGCCAAAGGTATTATTTCCAATATTATTTGGTTCATTGCTGATCTTTTTCTACATGCAGCCCCTCCCTTTCTGCCATCAGAGGCTGTCCAGACCCAGTTTTCTTTCTATTGGTCTCTCCCCAGCGGTCACCATCATTGCCTCTGCTTTTGCTCTGTTGAAGGCTCCTTTTGTTGAGAGCACAGGTGGTGTTTTGGGTGATGGTTCTTGAGCCTGTCACCCCAAACCAAAGCGAAACACAGACTTGGTACTGAAAACACTTCGTATTCCCAAAGCTGTGTGCCAGGTTATATGAAACCTTCCCTCTCTTTGTTATGTAAAGTATGATATGCTAGTCACATTTATTCTGTTTTTATTCATATTTAATGTAATTAAAGATGGTCCCACACAAATGGTGCCTGCTGACAGCTGGCCTTCCATCACAAGCTTGCTGGCCGGTTCTTTCCATGTTGTCCTGTGTGTGTGAGCAAGTCCCAGGGAGGGAAGGTCAGCACCTCCCCTGCCTTACTGGAATTCTCACCGAGCTCGGGAATTCTCATCACAGAGAGATGGGCTGTGATGCTCATGGCAGAAGAAAACTCCAGAGCAGACACAGGGCCACATCTGTTCCCTGGGGAATCCCTGTGGAGGTCTGCTGTGGTTGAGAGGGTGGGACGTTCCATCCACCTCCGATAGTGGCCTTCAGGGGCTCTTCAGACATAGGAATATAAGACTGAGTGACCTCTGGCCTCATGGATGTGAGTTTGAGATCCTTGGTGCCTGTGAGTGTGTCCCGTCACTAGGTAGGCAGGGTCCTCCTGGCACTCGAGGAGAGCTTGGGGAAGGAGAGGGTATACCAGTCAGTGTTGGCCTCTGTAACAAAGTAACACAGATAAGGTGCTTTACCTGCCTTCTTTCAGTGAAACTCCACTCCTTAGGGGTTCCACAACTTTCCTCATCTACATCAGCAGCTGAAGATCAAGTGTTCAACCACATGAGCCAATGGGGACATTTCACATGCTTACTCTGTCAGAGCTTAGGTGCAAGTCTGAGCTTGGGCCTTCTTTCCATGGCTTCCTAGTGGCTGCTCTCTCACCTCCTCATCACATAGCCTCCCTCTGTGTGTGTTCCTGATACCCTTTCCTCTTTTCATACAGATGCCAGTGAGACCATAAGGGTCTCAGTTAACTTCAGCACCTCCTTAAAGGACTTCTCTTCAAATGCAGTTACACACTCTACCTGTTTGGGACAGCAACACATGTATTTGGGGAGAGAAACAATTCCAGCTTATTTCACACTAAGAAGTTTGTGTCATGCTGCACACAGAATGGCCCTTTGGGCAGTCCCACAGTTCTGAGTCCTCTCTCCACAGTAAGCACTGCTCCTTACTGTGGTGTGTTGGGTGTGAGGCTAGACCTAGCACAGCCTGGGGCTGGCTTCACTCAGCACGAATGCTCCTGCCTGAAGAAGGTAGAGGATGGTGGGATTTGAGAAGTCAGACAGGTCAGGGCATACCCTTGAAAGCTACTGTTTCCTCTCTCTGGAGCTCTCCCAACCCTTGCTGCTAGGAAACAGACTTCACAGCCTGGGTGGTGCTGTTGAGGATGGTATTTATCTTTTGTGGTAGAGATGACATCCTGAGGACAGCCTTGGGCCCTGTGGGCAAGGCCAATCCAGTGGAGACTTGCAGGAAAAGTTAGGTTTGAGGAGTTTGGTTTCCCCCCCTCACTCCTCCACTCCACTGAACTTTGGGATGGGCTTCCCTGAAGGGCAGTAGAGAAGGAATGGGGTGGGGCAGGGACTGCATTACAGAGTTGAGTGAGCTTTTTAGCCACTGCTGCAACAAACCATTTGAACTTCATTGTGCAGCTATCCCAGAGAGCTTAGAGCAGTATCCCTCCTTAAAAAAAGCCTTTGGAAGAGCTTCAGCCTCATGGGTACCTATTTCCGTGGTGGCTTCAGGCTGATCTAGTTTCCATGACCCCAGCCCCTTTCCAGTGATCACTAAGGTTATCTTAGTTACTTAAAAAAAAAAAAATGAGTTTCTCATTGTACAGTCCTGGAGGACAGCAGTCTCATTTCAGGTACCATAGCTGAAGCAGGGTGCGAGCTAGGCTGCGTCTCCCGGGACTGCAGGGCAAACTGTGCCCAGGCAGCTTTGAGAGGCTGCCAGGTGCATTGGCTTGTAGGCTCCTTTCCAGGGTGCTATATTTAGGCTCTGTCTCTGTCTCCCTCTGCTTCCCTGGTCACATGGCCTCTGTTCACCCCCTGCCTCTCATGGGGAACCTTGGAGTTATATGGAATAATCTGTGGTTACAGCCCCATCTCAAGATCTCATCTGCAAAGTGTCTCTTGCCATGTTAAGGGAATAACACATCAGTAGGTTCCAGGGCCTGTGCTGTGGACATCTTCGGAGGCCATCATGCATCTGACCACAGGAGAGTGGCTTTGAAGCCAGGTAGGCCAGCAAGTGAGATGCAGTGGGCGCCCAGTGGCTGGACCCCTCTGTTTACCGTGGGGAACCCTAACATGACTAAGGGGGCAGCAGCTCAGTAGAGACTCTGAGATAACACTCTAATGCTCTGTGATAGCAGATGGGGCAGGAGTCTCAGCTGCAAACTCTTTGGCTTGTGGCTTTCCCCAGGAAGCTCACCTGGCTGCCTGCTGTGCACCCTAGACAGGACTACTTGGGGCTGAGACACGGCTTTCAAGAGCTTGGGGTTGCCTTTGCTTTTCAGTGCTTGGCAGTCTACTTTGGCAGTTCCCTAGTAGCAGCCACTGGGCAGCTTTGAGTCCACCTGCTGTTGAGTTCATCATGCTTGCAGAGACAATCACTTATAAAAGTTTCAAAAATTAGGATCCCAAGAGAACTTCAAGCTCACACCCTCCCTGGTCCCAGCTTTTGCAAAGCTGACCTCCAACCCCACTGGCATCCATCTACATAATGGCCTGGGCTGGCCTTGCTTTCGTGATCTCTGCCCCATTGCATTGGCACAGGCCCTGGTCCTGGTCCTCCCAGTCTTGAAAGCATCCTTCCTCTCCTATCTCTTTCTTTGCTGCTGATCATAGCCCAGGCAGAACTGTCTGTGGGCAGTTATGGGATCCTTGGAGGTTGCTGTCCCAGGAGGAATGGCATGGGATCAGTGATGGGAGACTTTGGGTGACCATGCCAAGCAGAGATGTGGGCTGGAGAGGAGCAACAAGGTACCTACTCAGTTGCCACCTGTATGTGGGTGTGTCCTGTGCCGGGTCTTCAGAGCACTGGGAAGAAAGAGCAGCACATGACAGCAGCCCTGTGATGGGGCACAGCCAAGGAGATGAAAGGAACCTTCTATTTCACCATGAAGAACCCCTTGCTAGGGTAGCAGTCTGAGAAGGGGGGAGGGGTCAGGCTTCTTCTGGGCTTCTCAGTGAGGAGGACACAGGTGCTCTACCAGCTTTCTGGGAGTTCATAAGAAGCTCTTTGTGCTTTGAAAGGCATCAAGAGAGGCAGGCCCTAATCATGTCTAGAACCATGTGGGTCTCAGTTAAAGATGAGATATGGGTCACAAGTACACTTGAGGCTTACCCAAGGTGAAGTAATGAGGTGACCACGGGGACTGAACTCAACAGGTCCCTGAAGAATCCCTTCCTGGCTTAACAGAGACAGGCTGGGAATGGAGGTGGGGAGGTGGTACCTCCTTTGACTTTAGCTATTCTCTACCAAAAAGGATGCTCCAGTTGGCACCCTCAAATTCTCTCTCTGAGAAGGCTGGCATGGGAGAAGATGGAGAGCCCTGCCTCTAAAGGCCAGTGTCCCAGCAGATCCACTTTGTAACCATGGATACACTACAGTTCTGTTGTCCTCATGAGTGGGTATCAGAGTACAAGTACAAACTGAGTAACAGAGAGACTGCACACCTTCTTGAAGTCAGAAACTACAGGTCCCCAGAAAAGGGTTGCACAATGCCAACTCGAAGTTTGTAATCTTTTACTTCCAAGTCAACACTTTAAGCTCCGGTGCTATCCTGTATGACCTTGGCATGCCGGTGCTCTCTCTTCAGTGGGCTGTCTGTGTTCTGAGTCTCATAACTCACTCTCTCTTCAGGCTTCATTTCAAATGCCCTCAGCTGCTTCTGGGGTCACCTGGGCTTGGGGTCTGGATGGTGACAAACTTCTTCATGGGAACAAAAGGACATTAAAGACACCTGTTCCACTCAAAGGCTTGCTACACTGAGCCTCAGCTGACAGAGGCTGGCCGGCCCCTTGGCTTAGCCTCCCACACAGACTACTGGGGGGCTGGCCTGTGGTGAGGTATCCCCCAAGTCCTGAGTCACAGCCTGAAAAGGACGGCAACACCCCCTGGCCTCAGGCCTGCCTGGGCGGCACTAAGGTACACACCCAAGCTAGAACTTGTTCAAAGAACTAACATCTCATTTTCTCGTAAATATTTTCTGAACCTCTACTTCATACAAGGCACTGGGCCAGGCAGTGGGGCGTGGCTGGCCTGTAGTTCCTGTGCTCATTCATCCATCCTTTCTGTTTTCAGTCAGTATTTGTGGATTATCCATGAGTGCCTGGTATTTGAGAGTGAGCAGAATAAGCCCCAGCCATGTGGAGCCTGGTGCTGAGGACAAGACTTGATCATTTACCCAAAACATCACAGAACTCTGGCAGCCATGAAGAGAGGTGATGGGGACAGTGAGCCCTTCAACTGGAGGCTTCCACACCCTTCTTAGTCTCTGTTCTTTGTCACCTCCCTGGGTGCTCACTCTCTAGACCAAGCCTGACAGCATGGCTGGAACCAATGGCCTGGGTTTCACCAGGAAGGGTAAGGATGGCTTCCTCCATGCCCAGGCCCTGCTGGAGCCCATACTGGCCAGATCAGCTCAGAGCCCCGCTATGAGTCTCTACTCTATCTTCCCTGAGAGCCACTGCACATGCTCCATTCATTCTCCTTAGGCATCAGGCACCTACTTGCTCTAAAAGGCCAGTTAGTGCCCGAGATACCCAAATATAATAACATTCAATTAGCACAGGGGTTGTCTCAGAGGCTGGGGGCACGAAGAGGCAGATAAGGGTACAGAGGTTGACCTGAAGGAAGCACTCAATGAAGGTTTGTGGGAGCAAGAGTGTGGGTAAGAGAAGTGTAGGGTGAGCCCTGGAGGGAGCAGGCCCTGGCTGGGGAGCTCAGCCTGAAGGCTGAGGTAGGCTTTGTGAGGAGGGAGTGTTGTGGGGGAGGGGCGGGGCCCATGCTCTTCACCACTGTGTCATTCAGGCTGGAGAGGCCACCCTTGACCCCAGAAGGTACACCGGCTTGGAATTCTGGGCTGGAGCTGGGAACTCAGCAAGAGAAGCTGTGACATCAGGGACTGGCCAAGACCAGCTGTGGAAAGGCCACTTGAGCAGGAGGGCTGCAAACCTGGTCTATGGG